ATGGCTGGTCCGACCGGCTGCGCGCGATTATCGCCTGTTGTAACATCCGCGGCGGCTGACCGAGTTACAACACTCCGTGCGTGCAGACTCGCTGTGCTCTCGCACCATTCTAGCTGCCGTAGTGTCGCGAAATAGTCACGGCACCTGTCGTCATTCTTGCGTCATCTGTCTCTCACATTCTGCCGCGGTAAAAACGGTGGTTCCGGCCGGCCCGGGGCGCCGGCACTTCTCAGAACTATTTATGTTGGGCCGACGGGCGGCTCATGCCGCTCGTAATGCGTAGCAAAGCTGCGGAGCTAGTTCAGGGCTTCGACAAAAAGGAAGACGTTTCGAATGTGTCGATTGAAGAAAAATGGATGGAAAGTGACGAACATTAACATCGTCGCATACTTTTTATCCTTTGAATTTTAAGTTCTCGGTATAAATATTTGTTCAATGCCGTAAACACCGATAGTCGTAGGCGCAGATGACCATTGATCAATGCTAACCCAAACATTGTCATCAAACCCTGATTCTTACGTCGCTACGTGGCACCATGATTTTAGCAGTTGCGAGTGACATGGAATCTAATGAATTTAACATCTTTTGGTCATACTTGCTAGACTTTTCCCGATATTATGCGCAGATTCATCAATCCATGATGCCTAATGTTTATTCATCTTAATAGTTAATGCTGCAAAAAGTTACTCAATATGTCTAATTTTATTGAGACATATTGAGTTACACAGAGCTACACAGAGCTCTACATCATTTTTATTTTTACATCTACATCTACATTATTTTTACACAGAGCTCTACATCAAGCCCATGAACTCGGGCATTATTCTTCATTTCGATTCTGCACACCCAAAGTCGACCAAACTCAACGTGGCTAGAAATCAATTTAAACGGGCTATCAGGAATTCATCAAACAACATGAAGGAGAGGAAAAGTGTAGAAAAGATAAGGCAATTACTCTTAAAGAATGGCTACCCAAACTATGTCCTGAACAGGTTGCTCAGAGAGGCTAGGGGGAACAAGACTCAGTCGAGAACTAGAAGAGACAGGACCCAAGAACCGTGTGATGGGTTCCTTACACTTCCTTATGTAGATGAAAGACTCCTGTGTGAAGTCAAGAGGAAAGTGAGACAATCAGGCCTCAATGTAAAGTTAGCATGGAAAAATTCACAAAAACTAAAAGATAAACTGGTGAGATCAGCACTGTGTAAGCCCATATGCCCAGGAGGTCAAAGATGTCACACATGCAGCTCGGGGTTCTCTGGGGACTGCACACAGAAAAACTTAGTCTATGAGATTACATGTACTGTCTGTGAAAGCAATGGAGAGACCGTAACATACGTAGGCGAGACGAAGCGCCCGGTGCGCTTACGATTCAATGAACACCTGAGGGACGCGCTCAACAAAACACGCGACACGCCCATGGGCGATCATTTTCAGGAGTGTCACTCCACCCACGAAGGAGGCACACCTCTCAAAGTACGCATTTTGTATAAGTCGAAAGATCACCCAGACAGGAAAATCGCGGAATCTCTCCTTATCCAAAAGAAGCACCCAAAGCTCAACTCCAATATGTCTTCATGGCCCATACTATAGAATGATAGTCGTTTGTTTTCATTATCCACTGGCTGTCATTGTAAATTATGTGTGGTTTATTGTTACTGCGCTTGATTCGAAGTTCTATGCATATGTATTATGTATTATTGTTTAAACCGAACCTTTTACGACACTACATATAAGGCCTTGTACGACACGATCTACTACGAGACTTCGAAGCGTTTGCATTGTTATTGTTGTTGTCTTCTTTTTTTTTTAATGCGACACGATCACGATTTCGACCAAGACGAACCATATTGTATGTATTTGTGTGGGAGTGCCGGCATATTAGTTGTATGCATTTGTATGATTGTTTAAACCGAACCGCCCTTTTACGACACGATCTACTACGAGACTTTCGAAGTGTTTGTATTGTTATTTTTTGTTTTAATGTGACACGATCCACGACCAAGAAGAACCATATTGTATGTATTCGTGTGGGTGTGCTCGCATATTACTTTTAATGGTCATGTATGTGTGGATGTATATGTGGAATAGGTGGAGTTAGAACAGCTTGGGATATGATCGATTTAGTTCAGCTTTCCGATTTTAAGAAGACCATTTTATATATCACGTGTAAGAATTTAAAAAAGTGGCTTGGCGGCAGTTATAAAACTTCGTTGTCAATTGTTTCATGTGGCTTGAGAATGAACTGTTGTTCGAAAATTTGCCAAACAATATAATATTTGCTTTTTATTGCATTTTCAATTAATTATCGAGGAAAAGGTCATTTGAAATTCAAACTACATATATTGATTTTATGTTTTATAATGTGGCTTCTGAAGTTATCATTGCACCGACCACTCACCGGTCATAATACTGATGTCACGCTTACTGTACAGCGCACGGTGCATTGTGTTAACAATGTGAATCTCTCTCCGCTTTTGTACTTATCCCCAGCTCTCTCTCTCTCTCTCTCTCTCTCTCTCTCTCTCTCTCTCTCTCTCTCTCTCTCTCTCTCTCTCTCTCTCTCTCTCTCTCTCTATCTCTCTCTCTCTCTCTCTCTCTCCCTCCTCTCTCTTTCCACCCTTCACCCCCGACCAAACTCTTCCCACGAATACTTCTTCTCTGACCCTTGCTCTCTCTCCCTCGCCCAGCTGGACGGTGAGCTGCAGCGGCTGGCCGCCCTCCGAGCCCGCCTCTGCTCCGGGGACGCCTCAGATGGCGACGTCAGCGGCGCTTCTAACACCGGAAAGCAGCGCCATGAGAGCTCCCGGTCAGCCGGCGCCGGCGGCAAACTCATCCTCAAGACGGCCAAGGGCACGCGCGACTTCCAGCCGGCCCAGATGGCACTGCGGGAGCGTGTGTTCGCCTCCATTGTGGAGACGTTCAAACGCCACGGCGCCGAGACCATCGACACGCCCGTGTTTGAGCTCAGGGTGAGTGACTGGGAAAGGGACCTGTGTGATTTAGAGTACGTGGTAGTGGAGCGGCGACATCACTTGAACAGAGCTTTTCAAGCTGGACGCTGTGCGTACGTATGGGTGTGTTCAGCCCTCGCGGAGGTGTTTTGTACCGCCGCGGGAGTCGTGACACGCAGTCTGGTTACGACAGAGGGCTAATGAGTTGCGAATAATGGGCACGCTCGTGAAGGGGTTGGCTGCCGGCTACCTCGCTACGCCGGGTGACGCAAGCGGAGCAGTCATGCGTTTTCCGCTCCAGTCTGACAATGCCCGATATTATTTTTGTGGTTTTGAGAAGCTGTGCTCATTTTATCATGTCATTTAACAACGTTGAACACTGTAAAGGTGCTTATAGCGTGCTGTAACATACAGCCATTTACAACATACATACAGGCCAATTGTTGTAACGCATTAGGTTTAGGTGGGTCCTTACTTTCCGCCGATTTATAACCGATTTACCTCGTATGGGCATCAAACTGTCGGCTATCGCCACATCTTCCTTACTCCCCCCCCCCCCCTCCCTCCCACAGGAAGTGCTCACAGGCAAGTACGGCGAGGACAGTAAGCTCATCTACGATCTGAAGGACCAGGGTGGCGAGATCCTGTCGCTGCGCTATGACCTGACCGTGCCGTTCGCCCGCTACGTGGCCATGAACAAGATCAGCAGCATCAAACGCTACCAGATCGCCAAGGTGTACCGTCGCGACCAGCCGTCGCAGGCGCGCGGCCGATACAGAGAGTTCTACCAGTGTGTGAGTACGGGGTGGAGGCGGCGTGGGGGCGGGTTGGGCACGACTGTACGTGGTCTTACTCTTTTACATTCATGGGACTTGGTAAAAAGCAGCCGAAGCTTGGGTCACGCTTGAGTTAAGGGGCTTGCTGCAATAATTGTATTGCAGTTTGAATTTCAACCTATGGCACCCTTGTCAGTTGATTATTATCGTATTTTTCGCTCTCGCTGTATGCATTATTGCCTATAATGGACACCATGAACTTTCTGCACGGTTCCGCACCACCTGACGGGCTCCCTGTTCCGCTCCGCCGGCCAGGATTTCGACATAGCCGGCTCGTACGACCCGATGGTGCCGGACGCCGAGTGTGTGCGCATCGTGTCCGAGATCCTCGAGTCGCTGCAGCTGGGCACGTTCGTGGTGAAGGTGAACCACAGACAGATCCTGGACGGCCTGTTCGAGGTGTGCGGCGTGCCGCCAGACCAGTTCCGCAGCATCTGCTCAGCCGTCGACAAACTGGACAAGGTGAGAAGGATATACAGCGTATGCTGTGGGAGAGGAGCGAAAATTGTGATGATATATGCATTGTAGCGTCGGATGTGAATATGACCAAGGGACTAGTTGGGGTTTCACGCCTGGGCTTAGGCTAGTTTAGAGATATTGGGCTGAGATATGGCGATTATTTTGCTGTTATATTAGGCAGTGGCGGATCCAGGGGGGGGGGGGGCAAAATCAGGGCATTTGCCCCTCCCAAACGGCATAATTTTAACATTACGCCATGGACGAGGCATGGAAAGAATCGATAAATTGTTATGGTTCACCCCCCCCCCCCAAAAAAAAAAAAACTCCGAGCTGGATTCGCCTCTGCTATTAGACTCTTCTTGTGACTGCTTTGTCCACCCAGTTTGCTTGACATCGCTTCGACTTCGGTGTGGTACCCGACCTCATAGTAGCTTGATCTTGGCTGATGTTGATCACCAATCAAACTGGTTGACCTGATTAGTTGCCCCTAATTAACGACCAACCACGACTAATGTGCCGACATCCAGTCGCTGACCAGTGACCATATCCCCTCCCCCATTGAGCCACTCCCCCCCCCCATCCTGTTCCCTTTTCCCCGATTATGTGTGTCTCACCCCAGTGCTTCTGACCGCCCTTCCCACCTGTACCTCCAGAGTCCATGGGAGGAGGTGAAACGTGAAATGGTGGAGGAGAAGCACCTGGCGCCAGAGGTGGCAGACCGGATCGGCCACTACGTTAAGTTCTCGGGCGGCCCGGAGCTGGTGGACACCCTGCTGAAGGACGCAGCGCTGGCGGCCAACAAGAACGTGTCGGCCGGTCTGGAGGCGATGCGCGCCTTCCTCGGCTACTGCGCGCTGTACGGTGTCGGCGGGCGGGTCAGCTTCGACCTCAGTCTGGCCCGCGGCCTCGACTACTACACGGGCGTCATCTATGAGGCCGTGTTAGAAGGCGGTGACGTGGGCAGCATCGCCGGCGGCGGCCGCTACGACGGCCTGGTGGGCATGTTCGACCCCAAGGGTCGCTCGGTGCCCTGCGTGGGCGTCAGTATCGGCATCGAGCGGCTGTTTGCCATCATGGAGGCGCGGGCTGACAAGGCCGACCAGAAGGTGCGCACCACGGAGACGGAGGTGTACGTCTGCTCGGCGCAGAAGGGGCTCATGAACGAGCGGATGAAGCTGCTGACCACACTGTGGGACGCCAACGTCAAGGTCAGTCACGCTGGAAGCAGCGGGGAGGCAAGGGGTGGGAGTTAGGCCGATGTCCCACAATGCTATATGGCTTAAAGTCTTGGCCTTGGCTCAGCGACTGGTGTATTTCGAATTTGTGTGCTTCGACGTAAATTCGATATCAACCGATTTTGTCTGCTATCATTTTTAATAAAAACAGGCCAATGCTATCAGAAGGAAGGTCTCACCAGTCGCATTAGCCCATTTTCTCCCCATCCATGGCAGACGACTGGTCGCTCTCGCTTATCGTGACTTCCGTCTCTTTCTGTCCCAGGCGGAGCAGTCGTACAAGAAGAACCCGAAGCTGCTGCAGCAGCTGCAGTACTGCGAGGACCACGGCGTGCCGTTCGCAGTGATCCTCGGAGAGAGCGAACTGCAGCGCGGCGTGGTCAAACTGCGCCACGTGGCCACACGCGAGGAGACAGAGGTACAGCGGGACCAGCTCGTGGAGGTGCTGCGTGCGAAATTAGCCGCCCTCGGCTGACCGGCTGCCGCCGCCCGGCCCGCCCGATCCAGACCAAAGGCCGCGTCCACGCCCTGTGATGATCCAGCGCAATGGAAGAGTCCGCAGTCGGCTCTTCACGCCTTGAAACGATAGTAATTTATTGCGGTTGGTTGTTTTTTTCGCGCGTGGAGGTGCTTTTTTACCCGCGTGCTGCGGTTGACAGCGTCCTGAGCCCGGTACGAAGTGTAGTCAGTCAGTGATGTTCGACATTACGGGATGCGGCGCTGAGATTGTCTGTGGCCTGTGTGGTGTGTTTGATACAGAAGCGCGGTGGAGTGCGCTGTGTGTTCCTTGTGCTCTGTGTGCGTCGATTTGTGTGAGTGCTCGGCTCGGCTCCGGCGCCGCCCCGAAGGCGGGAGGGGGTCGCCCTCTGATCCCGGCGGCGTTGTTCCTTGCCGCCGCGGGGACTGGGTGGGCACAGACGGCTCGGTGGCCAGCATTCGGCCCATCGGTAACATCACGCGACGAAATACAGCCCGCAATGGGACCGAGTAGCAGTATCTGGCTGAGACTGGTGTGAAGAATGAAACAAATGTGGTTTGAAGACCTGTGACTGGTGCCTGGTGGGTTGAAGCATCCAATTCGAAAACGCCTATGTAGCAAAGTCTCTCTTCAGCAAGGTCGTGGCAGCGACAAACGCCTGAAGATATTGTATTCGTGTATTCAAAGTACCGAAACGTTACAAAATCTAGGGGTGCTCGGCGGCGGGCGCCCCTGCTGACTAGAGGTACCGACGGGCCGGCGTTAAGGCACGGGCGCCGCTCGCCCCCGGGACGGCGGCGCGACCGGTGACACCGGGCGACTGCTCCGCACGGCGCGGCCCGCCGGCCGTGCGGGCTGTAAAACTCCAGCCGCTGCCGACTCAGAGTCGAGCAGCTGCTGACAACTGTCACGCGGGTAAGCTCGGAGAGTTATCGAAAAGCACACACGTCGCGGCCGAGTCGGGCAAACGCAACCAACACACGCTAAAACTAAGACCGCTGCTAATTTGTTGTCGTCGACGCGGAAGTTATTCATTTGTTTGACTGCAATCCGATTGCACAAAAGAGAACGTTACCACAGTGTTGCGTTCGGCACTCAGTTTGATCCGGTAAAATTTCCGCCGATCCTCGGCAGTACACACTCCCATAATCACATATCTGTTTAACACAAATTGAAGGAGCCAGCTCAGAAGATACATATACGCTGTTCCCCTTGTAGATAGTCGCCATCACGTTAACAACTCGGGCGACACAGGCGACTGAAGCGAGCCACTCCGTTATCAGGGTCAATCGTTCCTCGAACACGTAAAATCGAACTGGATCAGACAACAAGACAAAGCTGTATACCACCATATCTCGATAAGATTTCGTTGCATCAAATGCGATGCTACAATCGTCTGTAACTCGACTCAGTCGTCAGCCGGTCTTCTGACCGTTTCAGCGCCGGTTTAGCTCTGACTGAACAGTCCGGTCGGTGCTCTCAGCCCATGTATCCGGGCTCGATCAGTTTGTCCCAGTCGGTGGACTGCTGAAACACCTCTCGCTCCAGCCAGCGCCGGTAGTTGGCCTTAAAGGCGGGGGTCAGCTCGAGCGGCGTGGCCAGCACCGAGCTGAGCGAGACGTCCACCGGTTCCAGCTCCTCCTGGAGGAGGCACAAAGCACAGGCAAAAGGGTCAGGAGAGGGTCAGAACAGAACTCAGTCATACGTTTCGGTACAGTCGTGTACAGGTTGATGGTCCCCTACTCTTTATCCACCGGGTTCCTATGGCTCAGCATTGGCAGCAGCCGCCTGGTACCGGTAGGCTGTGCCGCATGACCGGAGAGTGAAGCGGCACAGTCTACCCACGCCGTTTGACATCGGCTCGGGTCGCCGGGTGGAGCGCTTTGTAGACCAGCTGTCACGTCAGACCAGCGCGGGGGGAGGGGATCGTCTCGGTGGTTGGCGTGGGCTGGCGAGTGGTGTGGGGCGTGTTGGTGGACCATGGGGGCTGGGCGGGTTGTGTGGTCACTTGCTGCATTGCACATTTTGCGTTGTTTAACAATTGCATTCCTGTTTTTGCTAAGCACAATGCACGGAAGACCCAGCGAATATAATTTACTTGTGCATTGTGCAAAACGTGATTTGGCACGGTATCGAGGCAACCATAGGTCTTGTGCCACATATATGCATGATATTTAGGCAATACGCTTATGAAAATGGTAGATTGATCGGATTGATCCTGGATGTCAATTCGTATGCTAAATGTCGACATGTAATAAATGAACGAAGGAATGAATCAATCAATCAATCGACAATCGACATGTAGATATAAAACCGTATAAATGGCTCGCAACCACTAAAATCAAACCAGATCCTAACTCGGAAAAGTAGCCGGAGCCCCGATGAGGCTCGAACCGGGACTCCACGTTGAAAGTTTCGCCAATGATCCATCGGGGGACCATCAAAGCGTCCAAAACCGCAGCATCCAAAGTACGCAACATCCAAAACCGCAGCGTCCAAAGTACGCAACGTCCAAAATACGTCCAAAATCGGGTATATAGGGAGCATTCACAACGTCCAAAACCGAAACATCCAAAACAGCAACATCCAAAAACGTATCATCCAAAAACGCAACATCCAAGGACGCATCATCCAAAGTACGCAACATCCAAAGTACGCAACATCCAAAGTACGCAACATCCAAAACCGTTAGGTTAGGTTAGGTTAGGCTAGGTTAGGTTAGGTTAGGTTTCCTTATGCCCGGTAGGCATAAATCAGTAGGTTAGGTTAGGTTAGGTTAGGTTAGGTTAGGTTGGGTTTCCTTATCCCCGGTAGGCAAAAATCAGTAGGTTAGGTTAGGTTAGGTTAGGTTGGGTTAGGGATAGGCAAAAATCAGTAGGTTAGGTTAGGTTCGGTTCGGTTAGGTTAGGTTAGGTTAGGTAAGGTTAGGTTGGTTTTGGATGTTGCGTGCCTTGGATGTCGTGGTCTTGGACGTTGTGGTTTTGGAGGTTACGTACTTTGGATGTTGCGTCTTTGGATGTTGCGTTTTTTGGATGATACGTTTTTGGACGTTGCGGTTTTGGATGTTTCGGTTTTGGACTTTGTGAATGCCCCCTATAAACCCGATTTTGGACGTATTTTGGACGTTGCGTACTCTGGACGCTGCGGTTTTGGATGTTGCGTACTTTGGATGCTGCGGTTTTGGACGCTTTGATACGGACCCGATCCATCATCATTCCACCAAGCTAGAGCGACCGGCACCCGAAACCACAACAACATTCATTGACTTTGCTGCCGACCTCCCGGCCCCGCCGCCCGCCCGGCCAGACTTTGCCCCGTCCGTGGCCACCATCCGGTGTAGCTCAGCGTAGGAGTGCTAGACTGTCAAACTGACCGGTAGTGAGAGGCCCGGTTCGAGACGCTTCGCGTGCTGGATGTTTATTTCTGTGTCCGAGGCTATGCGATTAGTCCACTTTTCAGAAAGATTATATGGTGACAGGTCTGTTTTCTTTCTTTGCTGCAATTCATGAGGAGACCGTATGGACCCTTACCTGTCCTTCCGCACCCCACTTGGGAGATGGGTGTTTGAACCCCCCTGGTTTTTGTGAATATCTCTAAAGCGAATTTTTGGAGGGTGGATTACGATCGGTTCTATGCGACAAGCAGGCATCGGTAGGATTGTGATTGCAGGATTGCAAAATCCTGATTGCATTCCTTTTTGGTGGATTGCACCTGGATTTGAAATCCATTCCAAAAAACAGGATTTGATTGCGGATTGGATTGCATCATACTTCCAATTTTTGCAATCCAATCCGGATTGTGTTTGATTAGTGCTTTGAAATGGTTTGTTGCGATTGAAAATTATGAGATCGGCTTCATCGGCTTAATGTAGGTACTTTGCTATCAAGGGCTTTACATCGAAACTTGGAATAATTTAAACGCTTTTAATTTAAACGCTCAAAATAATATACGCTGATGAACTACCTACATAGAAAGGGCAAAATTACATTTACATATTTGAGAGCGAGTTTTAAAAATATAAGACACTGGTTGGGTAGAGGTTTAAATGTGGGGGAGTTTGAGGTAAAAATTATTTCCCATAAAATACCTGTGCCTTAGATAGGAATTACTCGCAAGACTAGGTACTAGAAATGGGTGATATGGGGATGGAGGCACGGCCCTATGCCCCCTCCCTCCACCAGATCCACTAGTGCACATAATAATACAACAGGATTGCAAAAAAGGATTGCGGATTTGATCACAATCCAAGTGAAAAAAGGGGATTACGCGTAGGAATGCAATCCACTTCGGCACTAGGAATGTGGATTGGGAATGCAATCCTTTCAAAAAGGATTTTACCGATGCCTGGCGACAAGTGACCACACACACCCAGCCCCAGGTCCGCTCACTCCCTCCCCACATCACCCCCGCCCCACACCACACTCCAGCCCGCCTCATCCACCGAGCCGAGCTAAATAGACAGGCCTGACCTTTACCCCCCCCCCCCCTCCCCCCAGCCGGTGTAACGCAGCGTCCGGTCAAATCGCTCTACCAGGCGACCCGAGCCGGTGTCATACAGTGTGGGTAGGCTGTGCCGCTTCACTCTCGGGTCATGCGGCACAGCCTACCGGTACCAGGCGGCTGCTGCCAATGCTGAGCCATAGGAACCCGGTGGATAAAGAGTAGGGGACCATCAACCTGTACACGACTGTACCAGCTCAACGGTTCCAACGGCTCCAACTCATTCTAAAGCCAGTACACTCATGCAGCGTACGTCTTCGGAATCAGGCACATCTGGATGACGGCCGTTCCAAAGTTTACTCGGTGTGGAAACGGCCGCGATGCTTTTTATTATTAGTATTCACTGAGCAATGGTTTGTCGCCCTCAGTGCATTGCAAAAATCGTCGCATTACCATTGTCAATTCATAAAAGTGTGCTCGCACGCATGGACGGCTATGATCTATCGGTTATGCATGAAGGCAGAATAAATATACATGAATCAGTCATTCCGGTAGCCAGGGATAGATAAACTCTTCGCCACCAGAAACAATCACCGACCCGAGGCCACTGGGCCTCCAAAAGCGGCCCCGGGGCCTCCTGACTGATGCCACATTTCGTCAGCCCGCGACAGTCGTACCAGGCCGACTGGCCGTGCGTCACTCCCGCAGCAGGGACTCCCCTCTCGCCGCGTCCAGTGTCCACTCACCAGGCTCTCGGGGCTGTACCGGCGGGCGATGAAGTGATCCACCTTGGAGCGCAGCGCCCGCTCCTCGGCCTCGTAGTCCCAGGGACGCGCGTCCACCTCTGGAGAACAGGAGGGAGGGAGGCGGGAGCGGGGCGGGCGGGGAAGTGTCAATTTAGAGGGCCCGGTCGTAATGATCAACGATGACCCGGGTATTCGATATTGGACGGATAACACAGACAGCTCAGGACACAATGAACATGGACTCGTGTCAGGTTAACTGCTTTTTGTGGGACGAGGAAGTTCAGAACTACCGTAGCAGTGACACGTAAATGATAAGTCGGCTCAGGCTGTAAAGTGTAACCAGAAGAATGCTCAGATATGCGACATGCGTGCTATTGCTTTACAGCAGCATGCAATTTCTGAAACCAATATCCAGTTCCTGTAACGTTAGCGTCTCCAGGTCACCATGAAAAAGCTGTCTGGTGTCTCGTTATGACAGAACACAAGTCGCTCTAATTACACAACATAGTCTTTTGTTTACATCTCTACATGGTTAATTCCAAAACCCTTATGTTTACATTTCGCTACAATTAGCTTATTGCCACATAAAGCCAATTCACGTCTGTTGCAGCCATTTGGTGATGTCTACATAGTTCTGGCACCCAAAGCGGTAGGAGTGTGACGTCATCAACCACTCTCCCCTTATACCACTCTCCTTGCATTTTGGCAAAAGTAGGCAGCAGAACGGTGGGGCGCACTGAACACTTCGACAATCCTAAAAAAGCGTATGGAGAGAACGGCACGACTCCCGTGCAGCTGGTACACCGGCACCCGAGCAGACGGATATAAGGGACGTTTGACGACACGGACATTCACCAGACACCAGCCCGCACGAGGTTAATGTCTCCGCGCACCAGCCGATGGTGATAGATGACGGTGAGCATTGCGTAGTTTGTCGCACGGGCACCCAAAGCACGGCTCGTGATGACGTCAATCGCTGGAGAAACCCAGACTGCCCTCCACATATACATAAACTTACAAAGCATACTTATGACTCAGAGTCAGACCACAATATATCAGTGAATGTCCCATCATCCCGGACGGACTCAGCCCAGACCCAAGATCAAGCTGAAATATTACATGTGAACACAGACAGACTCACAGGCGTCATCTTACGTCACATGATGTCCCGAAAGCTGGACAAATGCTCCCTTGTCGCGATACCAAATCCAGCCAAACAAGCACAGACAAAGTTGGTACCAGAATCCGCTTGTATACCTCAGTAAACGAGCACAGAGGACATACACCCCATTATGTACATACCCTTGCAATACGCATAGAATCCGGGCGATTTCAGGTCTGCAAAATGTGCGCGGGAAATTCACGTACAGAATTACCGGTAGAAAATCCGACCCACGGCCGAATATGGCCACCGGCATGGAGTAAATAAAACGCAAGACAATTTGCTATTGCACGTGTGACATAAATATTGTGAGGCACAACTGAATTTGCTGAAAGAAAGCAACTAAAACTATAAAGAAAGTAGGCAAAAAGAAGTAAGACCAAACTAAAGTGCTTCTGTATGTATGCATGTATGTATGTATGACGTATGTATTGACATCAAAAGCCTTCCACATAATGGCGTGGCGATTACGGCTTCTGCCAATTCACCGTTCCCTCAATCGTTCCCTAGTCCCCCAGCTGTAACCAGTATCTACCTCACCAGTCCCACGTCCACTCACCGTTTCCGAAGGCCCAGTCGTCCACCAGCCTGTGGCGCACCTTCGAGTAGATGGCGCTCACTGTGCGCATGTTGGACTTGCGCCACTGCCGGCCCAGGTACTTGGTCTGCATCTTGAGCAGCTTCAGAGTGTACACCTGGCGACCGGGCGGTGGGCGGGTCAGGGAAAGATAGGGACGGTAGACCATAGCACGGCACAGCGGGGGATAATCAGATGGTACTCTGAAAGTGGACAAGCGCAGTTGTGACGATCAGCGGACCAGCTGTCGATATGTAGCTCGTCCACGGCAAAAAAAAAACTATCAAAACTATCCGTGCTGCATCAAACAGAAGCATGTGATATATAATAGATGCTTTTAAATCGGCGGACAATGATTATCAACTACAACACTACAATAACACCAGAGTGCGGCCCCGTCGGTCAGAGTACGACTGATGCGTGGACTGCTGACTGACCTGCATCATGGCGTGCTTCACTCTCAGCGAACGCTTCAGGATGGGGGCCGACTTGAACACCACCAGCATCTGTAGAGAAACGCGGCAACACGCTCAGTCCTTCACTCAAGGCCTACAGCAGAACGGCTATCATAAAACAACGATCCTGGGATAGGGACACAGTAACGTCATCATACCTAGACCAAATCGATGCCATACATACCTCATATGATATAATTGAGTACTTAATCGTGCTTCTATCAGTTCCATGGTTAAATGAATAGCTCAAGCAGCAACGCCGTCAGCCTGCACCGTCCGCTTCCATAACTAACTAACACTAATGACATACAGTGCACGGCACATAATCCTCACATCCCTCCATCCTACCAGCCCGCCCACTCCACTGGTAGGGTGGATCCCCTCCCTGCCTCCCCGGCCCTCACTCTCACCATGATGCGCGAGTGTTTCCACTTGCAGAGTTTGTTGAGGATGCGCAGCAGGTTGATGGAGGTGAAGACGTTTCTCCAGCAGTAGGGCTGCTCGTCGCCCAGCTGCAGCGTCTCAGAGGTGAGGTCCACCTGCGGCCCCAGCACGCAGCGCGGAAAGTCCAGAGCCGAGATACTGAGCAAAGAACAAAGATTCAAGCTGTCAACACACTTTAGTGTGCACAAAGAATGGACGGAAATGACTGCAAGTAGTTTCGGTAGCACAGCAAGTCAGTTACAACTTACAACTCTCACTATCGTCTCGTTGCGTGTTGATTTAATATTTGAATTTGACTTAAGCTCGTGTACGACGCACAAAAATACCTGAGCGCTAAGCTCGCTGCAATGCAAATAAATATTATACATTTTGGCAGTGCGGATGCTGATGCTATAAGCAAGTAACCGAGCGCGGAGTCACAAGTGTTAATGAAAAACAGCTAAACAAAGGGCCCTGAAGAAGCATCAACACTACAGGGTTAGTTCACCCAGCACACATCCACACCCCGTCGCCCCAAATCCGCGCACCTGTTTTTGGCGGTGACGTACTGGACGGTGTCCTGGTTGAAGAATTTCAGCACCAGCGGTATGCAGTTAGCGAACACCAGGTGCTGACTCACGAACTCAAACTGGTAGACGTGGTTCAGCTTCAGGTGCTTCAGCAGCAGCAGCAGCACGGCCGACACCGCCTTGGCGATCACCTCCTTCTGACGGTTCACGTCGATCCCCAGCTTCATCGAGTGCAGCACAGACACCCTGCCACCGGGGAAGGGGGCGGGGGGGGGGGGGGGGGTAAGATAATGTCAGGTTGTGCTTACGTGTTAGATCGATGCAGCACTTAGCGTATCCCACGATGCAGCACTTAGTGTATCCCAAAGTCCAGAAATGCATCGCACCGTATTAACAGCGTCTAGCTAGAAACAAAACAACTTGGTTGCCTGAACAGTGAATGAGTTTAGGCACAATTACGCATCCAATGCAAAGGTTCTATAGAGAGCGTCATGTGTGAGATTGGTCTGGAAACAAGGCCCTAGACGATGTTGGCAAATAAATACCTGTTTGTCCTTACAAGTTACAAAATTCTAGAAGTGCATCGCACCAAATTAATCTCGGTCCCATCATAAAAAAAACGTTCAACGCGTGGCATTTTTCCAAACTTAGCCGACCAGAAACCGTCTGATGTAGCCCATCAGCTCGACTGTACTCAACATTAAGAACGCACCAACGTCCCACCGATCGCTCCAGCCGCCCCAAGGCCCAGCACGGCCACTGTCCACCCGGCCCCACTTACGGCATCTCCTCCGGCAGCGTATCGGCCAGGATGTTGATCGAGTCCGACTTGGTCTTGGAGGTGGGCGCGGCGGCCAGCAGGACCTTCAGCAGCGCGATCATGTACTGCGGCAGATTCGGTAGCATCCCCTGCGGTAGCGGCGTGGCAATGGACGTGATAGGATCACAGCAGGCAGGTACGACGGCGGGACACGAAGGCAAGCTAAGCCATTGTTTCTAGGTAACATTGAACTGGACGACAGCAAATGAAACACTTGAGCAGCAGCGGCAGTGCAACAGCGGGTCACCCTCCATTTTTTATTCAGCCCGGGAGGGTCGAATTTCGAGCACGTAGACTGCCTTGCTCATTTTGTCCTATAACGACTGGCAAACAAAAATAGCACGCTTAAGGTGGCTTAAAGCGTCTTTCTTCCCATGTAACGTCTGTATCACCTTTTGATATCATCACCCCAGTTTCTCGTCCGATTCACTCACGGCGAAGAGCAGTTCGGCGGGCGTCTGCGGGACCTCCTGTTCGGGTCGGCTGAACGGACTGGCACTGATCTCCTCCTCCCGCTCCACCTGCACCTCGGCCAGCGATCGGTACAGGTGCTGTGGGAGAGAGTAACAGGGCGTCTGGACACTGGGAACACTGCGCGTTGGCCAGCGATCGGTACAGGTGCTGTGGGGGAGAGGAACAGGGCGTCTGAACACTGCGCATCGGCCAGCGACCGGTAAAGGTGCTGCGGGGGAGAGAAACAGAGCACTGAACACCGCGCCTCAGATAAAGATGGGTACAGGTGCGGTAGGGGAGAGCGATATGGTGAGGGTATTACAGAGCATCTGAACACAACATATTCTTCCATCTGCCATGAATGACAATGACCATACGAGCCTATGAACTGCGTGATACATCAGCTGACGAAGCAGCTGCTGGGCCCTCATGTGCAATTGCCACTGCAGGCCACACCAGAATATCCCTGCAACATTTCTGCGATGCAGCCTGCGGGCCAGTCGCGGCTCCTCCCAGCCTGAGCCCGTCAGACACACTGTCAGACGTGTCCGACACACTGTCAGACGTGTCCGACCCAACTACAATTACAGAGCACAATTACGGATCGACGTCCCGGTCGAACCCAACCAGTCCGTCCGTGTACAGCCCTATCGTGTACCTTGTCGAGGATGTAGCGTCCCTCGAGGATGGGCTGCGGCAGGCCGGCCATCGACTCCAGGTCGTCCTCCAGCCGGAAGCCGACAAACTTTTTCCGGCTGACGGTCAGGTACTCCTCGATGTCGCGTCGGTGTACCTTCGGCTTCCAGGGCAGAGCTGGCGGACAGAGGGAGCAGATTTTGTACAGTACAGCACGTATCGCAGTACAAGAAAACATGAGATGACGTCCAACTCACCCTCTACCACAGGTGAAGGTGCCCCCCCCCCGCCCCCCCCCCCCCCCCCTCCTAGACAGATGTCCCTCCCACCCATCTTGCCCCTGGCAAACCCTAGTCTGCTATAGGAGTCATGGGACACCTACCTCCTCCGACTTCTGGCTCTCAAAACCATCTCTGCCGTGGAGGACGGGCATCAATCCCACGCACCTCTGAAGCCTCTGAAGCCTTCCAATCACCCATGTCGTGAGGAACGGACGTCTCTCCGCCGTGGGACGTGATCACGAACGTTCCTCTCACCCACCTCTCCCGTGATGGACGGGCGTCTCGGGCCGCGGTGAGTCACAGCGCGGCGGGCTGCGGTCCGGCTGGCCCGGCTGGCCGGATCCCGTCTCCGTCGACTTGCCGCCCTCCTCGGCGACGTCGGTCGAGTCGTTCATCGCGTCCATGGCATCACCGTTAACCACCTTCGACTGTGGACAGCGGAAACGTGCCGTCAGCTTAACGAAGCACCAGCACTCGCAACCGGGCAAACAATATAAAAAACTGAAGGTGGATACTTAGACTAACTATCAATGCATCATGCGAACAATCTAGACAAAGTCGATTTATGTACTGTGAAATCGTGTTAAAATTATCACACGACAATTCTTGAAGCATAACATTTCTGATCACAAAAATAAACACCCTTTCTTTAATCTATCCAAATATACCACCTATCGTTCAGCCGGTTATAAAGTTGTTGATGTACCGAGATGGAACAGTGAACTGGTGTGGTCAGCTCTGTATCGTGCCATCTACATAGTGTCTGGAGATGCCTGAAAAAATCGCACCACTATCTCGTGCCGATATCCCTACTCCTTGCATGACGAATGACCACCTACGCTTGGGGAGACACCCAACCGTGTGAAGCGAGGCCGCTGCGAGCCGAACACGGTGTGTCAGCGGCCGCCACTGTATATCCACCCACCCGTGTGAAGCGGGGCCGCTGCGGGCCGAACACGGCGTCCACCAGCTGTTCGACGGGAGCCGGCGGCGGGCTGGACGCCCTCATGGTGCGCGTCCGCTCGACAGTGTCCTCGGGAACGTCTGGGAGGCCGGCGGCGGCGCGTGCGGCCGTCCGCAGCCGGCGCAGCTGGTCCGAGCCGCCCAGTGTCAGCAGCAGCACCTGCGGCAGCGAGGGGGACAAGGCGGGTCAGATCAGGACACGAGATGCACAGACGAGTGAACAGGGTTGGCACGACAAATGGCGAGTAAACCCAGCGGCTGGCACGGCATCTCACACGCATCTGGCTTTTTTGAGTCTTTCAAAATGGATGCTAGGGTGTACTGACAGAACAAACGCCGGCTGTTCGTGAGGTGGCGAAATAGAATACAGCTCAGGCGACGCGACAGTCTCCCAGCTCGTAAAAGACAGCAAGAGGATCTTATTCGCAGTGACGGAGTTCGGACGCGCCAAAGCTGGTGGACCCAGCAACAAGCTACAGGTAGCGATATATTCCTCAGGCGGGCAACCTATGCCACCTGGACTGATGCAGTGTCATCCCAACAGGACGGATACCAGACGGTGTTCCTTTACCTTCCAGGTGAGCAGCAGCACCTTCTTCATGGGGAAGTGGGGCGCGGCACCGCTGCAGAAGCGTGACACCATGCCCAGCAGACTGACGGCCAGCAGCTCGCCCGTGTCCTGCGGCTGACCTGACGGACACACAGCACAGGGCGTCATGATTACTCTGGTCTGGATGTGGAAACAAGATGCAATCGGCAAAGCAATTAACTTTCCATACTGCAAATGGCAAAGATACAGTCGGTAATAGGTAAATCAGCGCATTTCGCGTATCTATATTACGAAATGCGATAGACGAGGTATGAAAGGTTCTCACTGGACAAACAAACAAATAAATGTTATACCTACTCTTAAAATAAAATCCGAGCCACCACATCCAACAGTTCCCACAACAGTGTTCGGTAGGGTCACACAAGTGTGTGCGGAATTTTACCCAGTCATTGCACTATAAGCCATACAACATCTGAATCTGTACGCGGACATCCGGCAGCTCCGCGGCATGGCTGGTCACTAGGCGTCACCAGCCTCTCCGTCGCCACCCACCCAGCTCCTGTGTGAAGGCGTCCCGCAGCCGGACCTCCTCCGGCGGGTCCGAGTCGCGCACGTGCCGCATCTGCTCCACCATCAGGTACAGCACGCTGAGCAGCACGCGCAGGTCACTGGAGTCGGCCACCGAGACGGCCAGCTTACGGACGGCCGTCACGGGCGCCGTGCCGCTCCTGAGAGCAGGGGGGGGGGGGGGGTGAGACGGCCAGCTTACGGACGGCCGTCACGGGCGCCGTGCCGCTCCTGATGCGAGGGAGGGGGATGGAGGGGCGACTCGTGGGAATCAGGTATCACTGGGACACACTGATAAAATACGACTCAACAGGTTCTTTCAAAATGTAGGACCGACTACTCTGGACTGGAAACGGTAATGCGCTAGTAATCAATCTAATCCTAATTTAGCATCCCTGAAAGAAGATACTAAAATTCACGTTTTTAGAAACTTCCATGTTCGCATGACTGATTTCGTAGCATCCACGGAAACAGTGCAATTTTAAGCGTCTGCATGAAAGGCCATGAATATGTGACAGACGCAACTAAGTGACTCAGTGAGAGCAAAGAAATCCTAAAAAACGAAAACGCTCGTCTATCAAATAAAGGATACCATAACCGCGATCCCAGCCGACCTTGTCTTTACCGCAGGTCCAACTCACTCGATCTCTAGGTTGAGTATGTCGATGAGCACGGGTAGCACGCCGCACTTGTACAGTAGGAGCGCGTTGCGTCGCGCCCAGCTCTGTACCTCTTCAGGCGTGTGCAGGTCGCCCCAGCAGCCCTGGCTGATGTACAGGATCGCCCGGCTGGCTAAAACACAACCGACACCGTCTCTGACTTCACTGGGACTCTGGCTTTGAGCGATATAGGACAGCGAGATATCTTTTCAAGGGCCCACTAACACTGTATTGTACTGCAATAAGGAAACAAGTTTGATTCATTTGGAACATTTTGCACGGGCATTACTTTTGGTGAGCGTCACCACCAGACCATTCAAGTTATCACTGCACTGCTCTGGTCACATACATTACTGAGACAGTCGCACTTGCCCCTGAAAGAGTCGCACTCACCCCGAGGAAAGCGGCCATAGCTATGAAGTAAGAGTATCCACTCATAGGTCGTTCATACTCATCTCTGGGGTAGTTACAATTCAGATTCAGATTCAGATTCAGATGTATTCGAATAAGGTCCACAATAAACGTGGCTTTTCACTCATTCACGTCTTATGTAGAGCAGAAAGGGAAGCTGGAACACAAGACACTACGGCCACTCTCATTCTTACACATACGCATGCACGCGGGCGCGCGCGAGCGCGACACCAAAACACTGAAGCTCACAACGACATAGCAAATCGCTTCGCTTCAGCCCGAAAAGATGGAATGCCGGGCTCAATGCGCGAGTTATTAATGAGTGACATTCCGCGATAACAGAGTCGCCGCCTGCCTGCCTCAACTCGGATTGTTGGTAGGGTATAAAGATCAGCCCGTCTGGTGTCATGATTGTGCCGCTGACGCGCTCGCGGTCCAAAAGTCTGGAGTATGGCGTCCGGCTGGCCTGACCTTATTGTCCGATCGACAGCGCACATTGTATGGTAGGCCACAAGCTGCTTAGCCGTGAGCCAGCGAAGCTGCGATATTGCGTCAGAAATGTGGTCACATCGCCGCCTTCCTGTCACAACACGTGCACAGAAGTTGATGATTTTCTGCACACGGTGGAGTTGGGTCTCAGTACATGATCCATATACAGACATGCAGTACCGCACAATGGATAACACGAGTGCCTGTACAATGCCCTTCACGACAGAACTGGGTATAACGTGGCGTGCATGGTTCAGGGCAATCAGGATCCCAGCGCATTTACGGGACATGGCGTCAATGTGGGCTTCAAAGTTGAGATGCCGATCAACTATCACGCCGAGGTTCTTAACCCTATTAGTGGCAGGGGGGGGGGGGGTTGTTTTTATCCACCCCTCAGGTTTTTCGGGAATATCTCCGAAACCGCTCAAGCTACGATGCTGAAATTTTCTGACTTTTGCTAAAACTAAATTGGGCACATTCCCTGAAAATTTCAAGTTCATACCTTTACCAGGGGCGGCTCCAGAGCACTGGGAATTTGGGGGTCCTATTCGTGAAGCGAGTCATTTGGGCGAAGATCACGATGCTGCACCAGTTTTACGAACAGTGAATGAAAGGTATCATGTGATAACATATACAGTTATTGTGCATCCTCTTTTGACACGTTTTTGCTATAATAGGCGGATCCAGGCGTCCAAAAAGGGAGGTTATGTTTTACCTCCCAACATAGGTGCCCTGACACCGCCTATGCATGACCAATACAATTGTAGTCGTTCTCTCATAAGAAAATTGTAACAAAACAAGACCATTACCACCCTTTTTAGAAACAGTACCAACAAAAACCTTATTTACTATACTTTTTGTGTACCCCCAATCTCAATGATCTGTATCCGCCTATGATTTTTGAAAATGCATATTTTTAGGATCCATGTGAATTCCTGGTTCATTCTCTATCGATCGGCAAAAGTTGCGTTAAGATTGGTTCAGAAACCTGGCCGTGATAAACAGTCTAAAATGTATCTGCAATTTGCCCGTTTTTACCCCCCTCTACCCCCCCTATTGACATTTTTTAATTTTTATTTTTTAGAAATGTAGATCACGTTGAGCGCAATCGAATGCCTTTTGAATTTTGAAAATCGGCCCGTTAGATCTCGAGATATCAAGGGGGGGTCGTAAACAGCCCCCCCCCCTGCCACTAATAGGGGGTAGCCAGGAGCCTGCCACTAATAGGGTTAACTACCCTAGAATCGGGAATAGCATTTCCACAGAACTCAAGTGTAACAGGAGGCAGATCACGCAACATCGACGGAGTCCCAAGCACCAGCATCTGGGTCTTGCTCGCGTTCACTTTCATGCCGTTGTGACAAAACCATTGAAATACAGTAACTAGCGTCTCTTCCATACGGACGATGAGCTGGTGTAAGTCACGCTTCTTGCCTGTGATAAGCAGCTGCGTGTCGTCTGCGTATTGTACGACGCTGACATTGTCTGGCACATGTAAGCTTAGGTCATTGGCGAAAAGCATATACAAAATACAGCTCAACGCGCCTCCTTGGTACACACCGATAACATTGTTTTTGGTGTTAGAGAGCATCACATTTCCATTAGCACACCGTACCTGCACCTGCTGCGAGTGATCGGCCAAATAGTCTCGGAACCATGTGGTGGTGATACCGTAAAGGTGCAGCTTTTCCAAAAGTTTGTCATGAGAAATAACATCAAAGCATTTTGACAAATCAAGTAACACCAAAATACATATCTGCCCACTGTCCATAGCGCGAAGTGTCAGGTCAGTCACTGCATGAAGTGCCGTTTCCGTTGAATGGAACCTGCGATATCCGTGTTGCGGGTCAGAAAGGAAACAATTTTCTTCCAGGTAAGCAATAAGTTGGACCTGCACAATACGTTCAACTATTTTCATAACAGCAGGCAAGATTGATATCGGTCGCGTCTCAGATGGTTTGACAGCACCTTCACCTTTGGGGATAGGCGTGACCAACGCATGTTTCCACGCACGCGGCACCGCCCCGGTGGAAAGGCTCGCGTTTACAACATCAAGCAGCACGTGTCCTACACCAGGGAAAAACCTTTGCAACATCGACACACTGATACCGTCAACTCCTGTCGAGTTTGACGGTTTCATCGCCACGAGTGTAGCGTACAGCGTGTCAATATCAATGGGACACACGTCGAAAGAACAGGTAGACACACGCGGCAGGCGAGTGGGCACGTTGGCAGTGGCGGCCGGCACACTGGCAGCAGTACTAAGTCCTACGGTGACATAATATTCGTTCAGCGCATCAGGTGTAATCCGAGGAATCTCGCAATGCCGCTGCCTACGTCCTATGACAGGTCGCAGCACTCGCCAAAGTCCACCGCGATCGCCTTTCCTGATCTCCCTCTCGTAACGCTCACGACAGTCGCGGCGAATGGAGGCGCGACACAGCCGGTTGGCCTCCTTGTATGCAGCCCGATCGTTCCCAGCCAGCGCCGCTCGGCGGCGCTGCAATAGCCGCTGCGTGTCAGGCGAAACAGGCTGCGCAGTGTCCCGTCTATCACGAACGCGGTTTAGGGGTGCGACAGTATCCAGCTGTGACAGGAATGTACGCTGGAAATGCATCCACTTACTCTCAGCACTGTCAGCAGTAAGCACCCGCGACCAGTCAGTATCTTCAAGTTGCTGACTAAATGCCGTTACGTCTACCTAATTGATGGCGCGGCGGTATACATGTCCGGCACGGTGCACAAGTGTACGACTCTCACGGGACAACAACACTCGAGTGAAGTCATGAGGCCCTCCGTAGTGGCAACGGGTAACACCGGCTCGCTGAACAAGGTCAGTTCGGTTGGTGGCAATCACATCAAGTAAACTGTCGGCTGGGCGGTAGGTGCTTTGTCTAGAATTAGTAACATGTATACCATAAGTATCAAACATATTCACAAGTGCATTTGGTGAACCGGCACGCTTAGTAAAATAGAATATAAAAAAAAAAATAAAAAAAAAATATAAAACAATCGGTAAAATAGTGTCGCACTCGCCCCAGTGGCAGCAGTATCTCCAAGAAGATTGTGTTTTATCGGTCGTATCTGCCCCTGAAACGGTCACATCTCCCACAGGCTCGTGCCCTGCTCACCTCTGAGTCTGTCGTCACGCCGCGCCAGCTCCACCTTGTCGACCAGGCTGAGTAGGACGGCGGTGCGCTGCGCCTCCGACATGTCCGGCCACCGTACGTCCAGGCCCAGCTCCGACACCGCGTCACTGTAGTGCTGAGGAAGGAGGCAGGACAGCGAACAGCGTCAGCGAGAGAATAACGGGCAGGAACAGTACAAATCGAATGAGGTTTATCCATAGACTATTGAAGTCATTTCAGAGAACGTACTACACAGTAGGTACACAGACAAATATGTTGCCGAGTGGAGTTTACATAAATTATCCGTGGTACACTGATTCAATGGTACACACACTGAACGTTGCCACAGAAGCGGCTTAGCGTCTCGAGCAGTTTGTTCAGCACAAACAGTGCTTACGTGCTGGTTGAGCAGTACTCACGCTCCCCTGCTGGTTGAGACGTACAGTGGGTCTATTTAAGATCTCCAGAGCCACCACGTGGCGCTACGGTCGGGGTAGGGCGAGTCCAAATCCCGAGGGAAGTGAGGTCACCGGTCATTGTGGGGGGAAGGAGGGAGGGGGAGTGACGCGGTATCACGGCGCATGAGGCGTGCGTAGCGCCGGGAGTGGGCCGCCCGCCAATGAGCCGAGGCTGAGGCGGGAGGGGATGGTGGTTGCGGGTGCGTTCACTCCGGCATGGTGGTATCCTGTTCATGTGGAACCGGCAAGTCGAATGCGACTGTAGGGAATCATTATCTCAAACAAACGGGCAAGCCAGAGGCAGCGTCAGTTCCAGCCAAAATGTTGAACAGTGATAATTGAAATCTAGGACGTATTCATAGCATGCAACTATCCAGTCGATAGTTGCATGATGCTTTTCATGATGCATGATGAGGCTTTTCTAAACTGTTATTTGAGTTAGATATTTTTTCATTTGGCACGTTCAGTTTTGGTGGGTTTTATCAATGATCGGGTCGAAGAGAATTAGAAAAAGAGTTGAAATGGCTCCAGACAAATGACCAAAAATATTTTCTTAATTAAAAAGTGAAACTTAGCTAAACATTTATATGCATTAATTTTGACTTTTGGAGAAGATATTGGGGAAAGATATTGGGGAAAGATATCGTGCTTATCTGTGTTGCAGTAGAGGGAAAGGTTTCGGTCCGTGTCTAGATAAAACCAGACCCGGGAGTGGGGCTCGAACTCACGACATCGCATTCAGCTCACAGGTTACCCAACCTCAACGCTACGAGCACCTATCGCCCTGCGCAGTGCGCAGCTTGCTCACTGCTCAGTGTTTCGGCTAAAGTTCGGCCAAAAGTATCTGACGTCTGTCAATGTCACGAGGCGAAACCCCAAGGTAAATGTCCGTCCCGGTAGCTCGGTCGGTAGAGCGTGGGACTCCATGTGCCATGTGGTGAGAGCGCACGTCCCGGTTGCGAAAGTCCGGGTTCGAAACGCGACGTGTGCTTGATGTTTTTGAGCGGCTATTAACAGGTATGGTTGTGGCTGGTGGCAGGCCGCTGCCAGGCGAAGTCAGTGAGGGGACCGGCCGTGCGCGGCTATGTGCGCACGTTAAAATTTGGACTCTAAATTCTGCCATAGACCAGGAATTGCTTGATCGGAGGGTAGAGAGCAGTCGGCACTGACAGGGTCAACGCAACAAGATCAGCTTAGCGGGGACTTTGTCATAGGCGGCGGAACGGGGAGGGCACCGGGGCACTGTGCCCCCTTTGATTTTGGAATTTTAACATTAGCCCTATGGGCGTTGCATTGAAAGAATGGGACCAAAAGTCGGCAGTGGGGAGGACCCCCTTAATTGAAGGTGTTCCGGCGCTGCTGGACTTTGTCCTCGTGATTCCTTTCTTCCAAAAGGTTCGGGCCAAATTCATATTAAAAAAGGGGGAGCCGAACCAGGTTGGGCCGGGTTACACCCGGTTGGACCGGTGTCTTACACGCAATGATGGTCAGACAAAACAGAGGCTAATTTCGGGTCAAATATTTTTTATTAAAGGATCTTACTGTTTTTAGCTTACACGTATAATAACTTTTAGCTTTTTTAACTCCAGACTTCATGCACAAAAATGTGGCGTTCATCCACTTTTCCTCATCTTCTCTTAGCGACTTGATTTGACCTTAAAGGCCCATCTTACCAGAAAAAAAAAATCACCTGCGTGATAATTATTTGCCAAAGGGCGCTCTACGCAAGAAACGCCAGCCAGTCGAAAACTGGCGAACGATACGATCTTCCTATTGCTTGAATTATATTCAATGAAAATTTCAGGAGACCTAAATAATCTTAATCTTTATAGCTACTGAGCGCCCGGAGCATTCGCTGGCATTCCATTGCCAGCTGCATTACCAACATCACATTTGCATTACTTTGGGTTCATCATAGTTGACAGTAGATGAGCCGGCCACAGTAAACCCATGCCTCATTATCCTTTCCTTTCAAGCAGCGAACTCAAACTGCCAAGCTAACCGGCCGCCCGGCCGGCCCGGTCCACCACCGCGATATGGAACAACGCTGGAGTGCGCCATTTGCCTGCGGCAGTGCCCTACCGCGCCGGGGCTGTTTGACAGGTCACCCGCCCCCCCCCCCCCCTCCCCACCGGGCCCAGCTCGGAAGTGACCTCTCCTTGAATCTCACATGGACTCGACTGAGGCTCAACGCCATCTAGTTGCGTCTGGAGATCCTTACTAGATCCACTGTACATGTTCCTCACCCTTGGTAGAGCCGTACACATGGCTCACCTGCTGGTCGAGGGCGAATTCAGGCAGCTCAGTGAAGCTGTAGAGCTCAGCACGGCTCACCTATAGCTCAGCAAGGCTTACCTGCTGGTTGAGGGCGAACTCTGGCAGCTCGGTGAAGCTGTAGAGCTCGCTGACCTCCCGCTCCAGGCTGTCGGCGTCGGCGTACACAAAGTCCAGCTCCGGTATGTCGTCGGACGGACCGCACTGGAAGGTAGGAAGACGGCAGGGCGGTTAGCGTACCGGGCCAGCTCAGCCGTGTGGCAGCAACAAGTCATCCTTCAAATCGTCCCAGCTCGCATAGAAAACAATTTAGGAGCCTCGGTTCAATCTACTTTCTGAGACAACTGACAATCACTCCCGATGGAGTCAGTGTTGACAACCATAATCATCCACAATCATCTACCCATGAGGTGAAGTCCATTTCCCCAGCACATTAAATGGCCAACCAGTTAATCGTATGATTTACTGGGCCGGTGAAAGTGACCGAGTTTTACGCAGATTGTGGTTTCCCGTCAATTAGAGGTTTCATGACGCGTGAAATGCACCGGATGTCGGTAAATGTGGTTCTACAGTTCCATTAGCCGGTACGATCCAGAATAAATTGTTCTCATCAAGCAGAAGACAAAGTTCGGCTCGTTTCATAGCCTCACTTCCGCGTTATAGCTGCAACACGGGACAGAAGTAAGTGCCTGTTATAATGGCATATTTCAGACAATCTCTGATTACACCGTCCGCATCGTCCCAACCGCTCCTGTCTTTACACTTCCATATCGCGATATCCCACCAACTTGCCTTTGAAACTAATACCCATAGTTCACGGTCTCCCCATAGCACTACGGTTTTGTTCACTTTAGTCGGATCGTCTATCCATACCCCTGACTGTATCCTGGCTCACTAATCCTGAATTCTTTGATCGGACCCTACGATTACCTCAGTAGTCGTATTCCGCTTTACTCCAAAATATCCAACTAGCTCAGCTGTACCCCTGTGACTAAGATGCTCTCGGTTGTCCCTAGTTTTGTTAGGTGTTAACAAACTGTAGCAAAGCTATAAAGAAAAACAAAATAGCTAATCCCTACGCCATCTTTCAAGACCCGTAAAATCATCCGTGAAACCACTCATAAGTCATTCGCTAGCGTCAAATGGCGTGTTCCCACTTTCCACCCTCACGCCGTGAGAGTCGGTCTACATTGTTACAACCGCTGAGAGCTGGATCACATGCACAGGTCGACCGCCGCCGGGTCAGAGGTCACGCCAGAGCCGGCGTCCGAGGTCAGAGGTCACCGGCGAGCGAGCCACAGCCGGCATCCAGAGAATGCCAGCCCGGCCGCCAGCGAACTCCGGCGCACAGTGGCGAACCGGTTTCATGCCGGGACGCTGGCCGCGGCCGGGAGTGGGGACGGACGGAGATAGGGTAAACACTAGACATGGAGCCGACCGATGGCAGAAGGTGGTGGGTTGACAAGGCCCGGTCTTCAAGAGAACCAGGGATCGGTGTTTTGAACGCTTTTTCATTGGAATGTAGCCAACGTTTCGCAAAGAGGTAATGTACCGCGCGGAGCGAGGTGTTCTGTCACTTCTGTCTCCCCTAGACATTGACACCTTCTGACTCCATCCATCCGCTACAAATATTTCGACTCCGTAGCTTTTCAAATCCGTTCACTCGTACAAAACTCGTCCACTCCACACTCTTCCCAGCCTGTCGCCCTATCCAGCGCCGCTAAAACCCGCTAACCCCCGTCGCTCCCGCTTTCCACTGCTTCACGAGTCTGGTATCCCTAAATTACGTCCATCACGCAACCTTAAAATCCCGTCCATCGTCGCCGCCTTATCGCCGCCGCCTTCCGATCCAATCTGTCCCGTCCCTCACACTCCTGTCCGTCCCGTCTCGTCTCCTTACGATCCCGTCCATCACCGGGTCAGGTCAGTGACCGCCGCCCTGGAAGCGGTCCGAGATTATTCATTGGTGGCGTGCGCCGGTCGGCCGGCCCGCTCGGTGCCATTACCATAACCCGGCAGTTGCTGGGGTATTTCGCCACCCACCGTTTGCTGGGGGGGGGGGGCGTTAAACGCCCCCAGCCGATAACTCGAGAACCAATAGGCGCAGCGAAACGCACGAGGCGGCAAACGAAAGAACGCGACAAGACGCTTCAGATGAGTACTTTAAAGTTGAATTTTGAGGTCACAGGTCAGGTCAAGGTCAGGTCAAACACCTGAAATCGGGCTTTCAGTAGCATGGACTTCAGGACTTCGCAATGGGCGCCTCTCGTCATAAACTCTGTCAAAACGGTGCACAATCCATCATATAGGGCCTACAAGAGTGTCAGCTCCATGCAGGGGTCAGTCAAGCATAGGTCAGGGTCAAGGTCAGGTCAACCGGGGAGGCATATATCCCCGAAAATAAAAACTGATATTCACAGCCTGTGACACATGTTTTATGGGTAATTTGGGGCGTAGAACACGATGGTGACATTCATTTTATCATATGTGTACGTGTTTTGCTAAAAAAGTTCAATTTAAGAAATTCATGTATCATGGTCGTGAAGTAGTCACGAGAAATTGCCAAGATTCAGTTCAAGATTTTGGAAAATGCGGAACGATAATCAATAATCGAAGATAGCCATTTGATTCTTCATGGTATTGGCAGTCTAATGGCGTTTACGGCATGTCTATATGTCTAATCTGTGATTTTATATGATTTTTTGAACATATGCCGTTTTTGGTCGAAAACTCAGAAATCATGACGTCACTAAAACCTCGATATCTCAAAAATTTTCCGACCGATTTTTTTTAAACTTTGTCACAATAAACTTCAATCAATTCCCTCCAGGTACCCAAAATTTGGCGCGCCTGCGGCGCGCCGTTTTTATGCTATGGCCCGGCGAAAAAAGTGGGGGCGTTTAACGCCCCCCCCCCCCCCCCCAGCAACTCGCGGGTTAACACGGTGAGCAGTACTGTGTTGTGACGCCGGGCGCGGGGGCTCGGCGGCAGCTCTGGCGCACTCGTGTCTCAGCTCACAGGCGAGCAGCCCGTTCACCCACTGACCCAGACCCACTGTCGGCTCGCTCCCACCGCCGCGCCATAATTGCACGCTGAAAATAGCGCGGCCACTGGAGTGGAACACGTATATTGGCATTACACGACTGTCATCAGACCTGGCTGCAGGTAAATAGCGCGCCGGGCGCTGCAGACTGCCGCCAGCGGGGCGTACCGGGCGTGCAGCGAGATAGGTATTCAGAGGAGCCGCCCTCGTGCAACGGACGGCACGGCGCCGGATGGAGCCTGCGAGGGCACGGTGGTCAGAGAGGACAGACAGGCAGCAACTGACTGAACACATCGACATGGATACAGCAGCGAAATAAAGAGCAAATGCCCACTAATGCACTGAAAAGACCAACTGAGACCTGGCAGGTAGTCTAAAGACCTGGCGGCCAGCCAACGTGGAAACATCGATGGAGAACAAGAAACAGTCAAGAAACACAATCTTTGGCACAAACGGTACGGTCCCACGAGATGAGAGAATAATCCATTGTTCACAGGACTAACTGTCCTGATGATTCACAGGAGATGTTCATTGTTCATGTCCTGACAGCAGAAAAGGGGACGCGGGCAGACTAGCTCTGGTTCAGTGTCCACCCACAGTCAGCAGCAGCCGTTGGTCGCCGGGTGTCCGCTGACCATCCATTACACCTGCGATAGTGCGCACTCCTTTGGTGACCTTGATGTGTCACTGAAGCGGCGGCCCGGTCCCCACACGAGTCACGCACTGATTACTGCCGCCGCGGGCAGTGGCGCGTCAGCTCCGTCTCAGGTGGCCGAGTCACTGCCGTGCGCCCTCACCATCACACTCATCGTGCCATCATTAGACGTCCGTGCATGGTTCTGTGGTGGCTCTTCAAACGTCAAACCAACGAATCATCGAAGGAGCCAATCATGAACATGATCAATCCCTGGTTCTTAGAATCATCCACAGCACACATTTGTCACCCACACACACTTACGGACACTCCACCTGACCGGTCACGCGGGCGACTCGGGCGAAGCCGGTGCGTCGGCCGGCGCCGGCGCCACCTTAGTCCTGTCTCCGACGACGAGCCGCTCAAAGTTACAGAGCAGCGAGAGCACCACGAGCCACCAGTAGGCGAGCAGTGCCAGTGCTGCCGTATAGGCCAGCACGGCCGCCAGGTAGGCCGGCTCGGGCCAGCGGGCGGCGTCAGCCAGCAGCACCCCGGCCCCAGCCAGTCCGGCGGCCAGCACACAGGCGTACCAGCTGAGCCAGAGGGCCAGCAGGACGCGCAGCCGCGCCAGCACGGCCACCATGAGCGCGGCGTCCATCAGCAGGCCGCAGACGGGCACGGCCACGGCGCGCGGCGAGCAGAGCAGCGCCAGCAGTGGCGCCACGTGCGCCGGCCGCGGCGCCAGGCCGGCCGCCCAGCCGCACACGGCCAGCAGGTAGAGCAGCTGGAACAGCTGCAGCGCCAGACCGATCACCAGCGCCGCCTCGCGCAGCGCGAAACAGCCGCAGCAGCGGGTGACGCAAGTGGTGCGCGCCGCCATCCCGGGCTCGGGCGGTCGGTCGGAGCGAGCTCACATCGTCCGAGAGGCCGAGCGGGCGGCGGGAGGGGGCGGCGAGGCGCAGTACGGCGCGTCACGAGATCGTGCCCTCGGCTGCCCTCCGCGTCTCCCGGGACACGACCCGGAGCGGGGCGGCACGACGGTCACGCCGGCGTCACTGAGCGCGCCGGCACCGGTCCTGCTCTCAAACGGACGGATGATGGACAAAACAGCGCTGCTTACTGCCGAGATCCGTTTCGTCCGTCACAGAATCCCTTACAGCTTCTGACTATCTTCGCAGCCACTAGCGGTGACAGTTTCGTCGGCACAGCTGTCAACAGGAAGTTGACAGGTTTTATGACATCACTGCTGGAACGCCGACGGTCACACGGTTTTCCTCCACGCCGTTACCGTTTGTTGGCAGCCCGGATCCAGTTGATCTGATTCCAGATTTCAGCTGATCAGACTCCAGTTCAGGGTCCTGCTGAAGCGGCTCCTGAGTCTCGATCTTCCATCGCTGTGCAGTCGCGCCAGGAGAACGTCTTCCCCGCTCCCCCTCTGCGGGGCTGTTGTGACAGTCGGGCTCCGGGACACTTCACGGCGCTCGTTGAGGGGCCGCCGCGGGCTGGTAGCGGCTGCTCCGGCGGTGATGTGTAGCGTACCGGTCGCTCACCCGTCACCTTCTGTCGCCGGCCAGTTCGAACTTCGAACCGGTCCGTCAGCGTCCCCACCGGACCCGACGGAGCGGCGGCTCCCAAGATCACCCTGACGACGGCCCTCGCTCAGCGAGATCACCTCTCCCTCGGTACGGCGCACACGGCTCTAACGTCGACCCGCACACGACTTGAGATCGCGCCGCTGACGGATCGGCCCGCTCACCGTTACGTCTGGCCCTCGTAGGACTCGACTCGCCGCGCGCGCGGCCGCCCCGCTCCGGCCGCCGTGTTTCGGGAGTGGAGGGATTCAGTGCAGCGGCACCGCGCTCCGTACAACTGCCGGCGCTCAGCGCAGTCGGCCTCACAGGTGACCGTCGAGGGGCGGCGGGGACTGAACGCGTCTGACCGTGGGATGGATATTGGAGCCTGCCGCGCCGGGGAGCGGCCGCCGGGGACAAAGGGGCGGGACGGCTGAGCCTAGGAAGGGACCAGGGGGCGGGGCGGGCAGAGAGCGGAGAGTCAGGTTACCGGAAGCTAGGCGACCGGAGCGGACCAGTTTTTGTCAACGCTGGTTGCTCATTGTTGTGCGTGGATAAAAACAGACGCAGCGAGGCAGGGGAGCCTCCGGGCCCATCAGCCCGATGGTGGTCCAGCGCCACTCACGTGGAGGGTCTGGGAGGCACGCCATCCCGACAGGCCATTATTGAGGAATGCCAGATGGAGAAGATTAGGAGGCGCGCCGGCCAAATAGGTTCACAGAGCGATCAGCGTACCTTCGATAAGTGGAAGGATCTATCGACTACCGTCCGAACGCAGCGACGTTTGTTTCCAGAGTGACGGGCAGGTGTTATCTATTTATTTACCCCTAGTGACCATCCCCAATCCCTAGCAGAAATCTTGCAGCCCCAATTGCAGTCCCCAACTTTTGACGCGAGGGATGCGTTTCGCACGCTCGTCATATGCCAGACACACCACATTCAACTGGGCCAGTTACCATCACAATTCGTTCAGTTTGATTCGTTCAGCCGTTGTGACGTACCACCAAATGGTAGGCCTTACCGGCTACAAAGCCGAACATCAGCGTACAGCAGAAAACGGATACCGGAGTTGAGCGATAATCAACCGCTCGGCCCTCGGGGCTCTCAGGCCATCACTGGGCATCACTATCAGTACCGGACATCAACTGACCGCTGACGGCCGACAGCTCGCGGGATTACCGCCTCAGCATTACCATAAACCCACCGGAATGGCTTTCCAGTCATGAACGGCGCCTCGGTCCCCAGCTGACGACCCAGTGGTGCCGAGACGGCCCGGCCGCCAAACCCAACGACGGTGTGGTGTCAATAGCGGCAGTGGGCGGTGAACCAAAGGGACAACTCAGAGGCAAATGATGTTGAACGAGTACAAAATGAAGGAGATGAGCGGACGCATATAATCTCCATCCGTGGTGACTGGCGACGAATATACCAAGTACCAGCAGCCGGTTTTGTTTCTTCGGTACAGAAAGCACTCAGACTGACATTGTGTCGCCTCATCTGATTTCAAAAACAAACACACACGACTTGGAAAAATTACAACACAGCCGTACAATAATTAATCGTTATCGGTCTTTTAGCAATCGAACCAATCGCACTGGTTCTCTTGCAGACCCTTAAGGCCGCCCCACACTGGAACTCGCATGCGGGTTGCGAGTTTGCGGGTTTTGAGTTTGTGGGCATAATACTTATTCATAGAGTGATTAGACTGTTCCCCTATGGTAACTTCATGAATGCAGTGAAGGCGGTGCACCTTCAGAAACTTACAGATAGTCGCAATACCAGCGCAACGAACCAAAATTCGACTCCAAAGAAAAACCCGCAAACCTCGTAGAACTCGCAGACCTCGCAGCGAGGAAAATCGAAAGTTGACTCAAAATCAACTTTTGGAATGCGATGCAAGGTCGCTCGCAAGCTAAAAACATGCAGACTCGCTTGTTAGATGGTAGTGTGGGTTACTCAGCTTAGATTGTATCATTTAATTTCGAAGAAACCCGAAAACCCAAAAACTCGCAACCCGCATGCGAGGTCCAGTATGGGGCGGCCTTTAGAAGGAGGGTGAGATTTACTCGAAATAGCAAGAAGAGCAAATCTCACACAAGTGAGGATGCCAAGAAACCCATCGATCCCATATCGATACGCTATTTTGGCGAATAGGAAAACGATAAATATAACCGAATACTTTCTGACAAGAAACTAGCCAGCCTGACCCATGTGTTCCTTTGAAACTCCATCGATGACCACGCCTCTATGAAACACGCATCGCTAATCCCATACAGTGAACCCCCGACAACTGCTCCCAGCTCCCACACAATGAACGGCGGTCGCACTCACCTCCGAGTCCTCCCGGTTCCTGATGATGATCTCGCGCAGTTTGGGCAGGCCGCGTCTGCCCAGCTCGACTCCCGCGCCGGGGCCGGGCGACTTGGCCAGGTCCACGCCGCCGCCCAGGCTGCTGCCGCCGCCAGAGGCGTTGTCGTTTCCGTTTGTATCCATGGCAAATGATGCGGAGTTGTACTGGTAAGCAGCTTCCACGCAATGCGCTTGTGCCTCAGTACTTCAATGGCAAGGAAATGCCAATGGCTGAGACATAATACCCACTATCTTAACATCCGGCAGAGACGAATGGGAATAAATCTGAAATGAGTCAATAATCATTGTGAAATGTGTAGAAATCAGGCTAGGCTGAAGTAGAAAAATATTATTAAAATGCCAATAGTACTTCCAGAAAATTGAAAAGCAAACCACCTTTGAAATTACATGAACATCATTTCATTTGAAATCTTAAGCTCCAACCATGTATTGGCTAGTACCATGGTGGATAGCATTATGGCATAAAAGACTACCAGGCATTGGCAATTTGGATTGCTAAAAAATCATTACCAAAGCTGGACGCCTTGGGGGTTCCCATGCACCAAAATGTTTTGCAAGTGATTTTGTGCAAACATTGTGACACAATTTGCACTAATAGTTGGTATTCTTATAGCAGGCGTCTCACATGCTGCCACTGGTTTGGGAAAATTCGCTAGATTCGTCAGGTCTAGAGAAGTGACCACCCTTCAGGACAAGGCTCTCATGCAGCAGGACATTGATGCCTTGGGACGCTGGGCAGACAGGTGGCAGCTCCCCTTTAACCAAGATAAGTGTAAGCTGATGCACCTAGGGTCCTCTAACGAGCACTTCAGTTACCTGATGAACGGTTCCACTCTAGCTCAGGTGCATATGGAGAAGGACCTTGGACTCGTCATTGATGAAGACCTGAAGTTCCATGAACAGGTGGCGGCTGCCGTGGGTCGAGCGAACAGAGCTCTTGGACTGGTGAAGAGGGCTTTCAAAGCCCTAAACAGCCATTCTCTGCCTCTCCTCTACCGGACTCTGGTGCGTCCTCACCTTGAGTATGCAAATGTGGTGTGGGGACCTACATTCAGATCGGACCAGGATGCCATTGAGAGGGTCCAAAGAAGAGCAACTAAGCTGGTTCGTCCATTGCGTCACCTTCAGTACCAGGATCGACTTCGAGCCTTGGACCTCCCCTCCATGTACTATAGAAGGATGAGAGGAGATATGATAATGGCGTACCAGATTCTGACAGGATGCCTGAGAGTGAAAGTAGCCGACCTTCTGCAGCTCGACACCTCAGATCGAACGCGTGGTCACCATCTGAAACTGAAGAAGAGACGAGTGAACTCCCATCTTCGCCAGACCTCTTTCTGTCATCGCATAGTGGACAGCTGGAACAGTCTCCCTGCAGACGTCGTCGCGGCACCGAACTTGAACACATTCAAGAACCGTCTCGACAAGCTGTGGGTGAACAGGAAGTATACCCTGCGAACTGATTGAGCATGTGGTGCCAGGATGAGCTAAAAGCTACATGGTTGGTGTAAGGGAGAAGCAAATGACCGGATTTCCTACAGGTCCTTTGTTGACCGTCCTAAAAATCCGTAACCACTATTCTATTCTATTCTATTCTATATTTCTACCAATTCGCTATATAGAGTAGACCTCCGTGTTTCCAACCGGTAATTACATAATGGTGATTTCAAAAATGGAGTCAGTTTTTCTGAAGGGAGGCAGGGGGGAGGAGGGTACAACAGATAACTTGTTTCCCGGGTACGCCTGATCAGAGCCAGACTTGCAAGGCAGCGTTTGGAAAGCTTTCGAGTAGACAAGCCTAATTAGTCATGCAAATTAGCAGATACTGGGGAAGGTGCATGGGGGGATTGCCCCTTGACCGATAGCTCGGGAGCGGCTGATCGCAGCGAGGCTTGCAAGGCGGCGCTGGAAAGCGTTCAAGTACACAAGCCTAAATAGTAATGCAAATTATCAATGGGTTACGGGGAGTGCGTGGGGGTTTGCCCCCCTGACCGATAGCTCGGGAACGGCTGATCTGGATCGGAGCCAGGCTTGCAATAATGCTGTAATCGATGCACTAAAACACATCAAACCCTGCAATCATCCAATAAATATGAAGAAAAGTATTTAATGTGCATGTTAATTACGCCTTTTATAACTAGATTAAGACGTTTTTGAGAGGCGGGAACATAAAATCGGATAAAATCACACAAAACTTTGTCAAAAAAGAATAACAAGCAATAAAGGCAATAAAGCGAGTAGGAAGTATTGAACAACGTTTGGCATATATTTGTTGCCGACTTATAAACTTTTTACAAAATTATTGACACTTAATTTAAAATACTTCTTGTAAAATTCCAAAATTTATTTTTTAAATATCTTAAATTAATCATGTCATTACCAAAAAAATATGGAACTTACGAGTTAAAGGTTTTTGAACCGAAAAATGCATAACTAAAGCAGATTACGTCACTTATGAAAAAGCATGCTTTGCGTCGCTTTTGCCGTCTTTAAAACCGGTTGACATGTGTTCTATTTTTAGGGTTATTTTCGATTTACACGCCAATGGCCAATCAAAAAATTCAAGGACAAATTTGCCCGTCTCCATTGGACGTTTAAATTCAGAACCCTTTACGGATTGGTCGTCAATTCGTTGTCACCGCTTTTGTCATATTTAGAACATTTTTATACGAATTGCTCGTTCCTAGCCTGTGATAAACTGGGAAGTGGCGTGGAGAAAATATTGCAATTATTTTTGTGAAAGCGGCAGTAAGTTCACTCAATATACCCTGGCAGTAAGCACGATAATAGATATACTATGCGCGGGAGGTACACTGGCAGTAAAGTACCCAAGTAAATACTGGTTTTACTATAAGCTATTTATTTTATATTATGATGAATTGAATTGGCAGTAAAGTACCCAAGTAAATACTGGTTTTACTATAAGCTATTTATTTTATATTATGATGAATTGAAATTTACTTGGCCTAGGTCAAAGTATGTGTTAATTGTTTTGAAAGTATGAGAAGAGTACCTACCTAAATAAGTACCTACACTTGACTAGGTACAGATTGCAGACTGGTGTTCCACTCCTCAGAAACTGAAACTATCAATTGACGAACATTAGTTTGTGCCGCTTGTGACTCAAGCACGTCAATGGTGAGCCTTGGGTCACAGCATTTAACTGTGGACTCTGCCTGCGTGATGCGGAACGGCCTACCAGTCTTGGTAGGTAACCGATCACCTTTTTTATAGCATTTGACTCAGCTTGATGCGCTGAGTCGAATGGCATAAGAATCTCAATTTCAAAAATTTGACACTTAGGATGTTCTTGCTGGGAACTGTCGATATGCAATGCTTCATTTCACCCGCTTGTTCTTTTTTCAGTAAGTGGCAAGCATGAGTGATCAAAGTGGTAAAAATCCACAAGAGGTTGTCCAGGAGTTTCCTCTTGAATCAGATTCAGAGCTCCGCTTTGAAGTCCTGGAGCAAAACAAAAAGGCTCAGGTCACCCTGGAACTCACTGCAGGTCTTGCAGAAATATTTGGCACAGAACTTGTCCGCAAGAAGATCTACACTTTCCGCGCTGGTGCTAAGGTAGCCGTTTTCACGTGGCAGGGGGCGCATGTGCGCCTGCGAGGTCCTACAGATGTTGCCTACGTGGCCAAGGAGACTCCTATGGTGATGTACCTGAATACCCACGCGGCGCTGGAGCAGATGCGCCGGCGGGCCGAGAAGGAGGGCGGCCGCGGACCGGTCTGCATGGTGGCCGGCCCCACGGACGTCGGCAAGTCGACGCTGGCCACTCTGCTGGTTAACTACGCGGTGCGCGCCGGCCGGCGGCCGCTGCTGGTCGACCTGGACGTGGGCCAGGGCGCCATCTCCGTGCCGGGCACCATCGGCGCCATGATGGTGGAGCGCGTGGCAGCCGTCGAGGAGGGTTTCACGCAGACGGCGCCCATCGTTTTTCACATGGGTCACAAGAGTCCGGGCGACAACACGGCATGCTACCGGCTACTGGCCAGCAAACTGGCTGAAACAGTCAGCGAGCGGATGCGCGCCAACCGGCGCTGCGGCGCCAGCGGCTGCGTCATTAACACGTGCGGCTGGGTCAAGGGCGAGGGCTACAAGGCGCTGACGCACATGGCGGTGGCGTTCGAAGTGGATGTGGTGCTCGTGCTGGACCACGAGCGGCTCTACAACGAGCTGGTGCGCGACATGCCCAACTTTGTCGAGGTGGTGTTCCTACCCAAGAGCGGCGGCGTCTCGGAGCGCAACAAGATGCAGCGCATGGAGGCGCGAGACGCGCGCATCCGCAGCTACTTCTACGGCCAGTGCGGTGAGCTCTACCCTCACTCGTTCGACGTCAAATTCTCCGACGTCAAGGTGTTCAAGATCGGCGCGCCCAAGATCCCCGAGTCGGCCCTGCCGCTGGGCATGAAGATCGAGGACAACGACACGAAGGTGGTGCCGGTGGCGCCGGGCCCGGCGCTGCTGCACCACCTGCTGGCCGTCAGCTACGCCGAGTCGGCCGACGAGGACCTCATCACCACCAACATGGCCGGCGTGGTGTGCGTCACCGCCGTGGACGTGGAGAACGAGACGCTGACGCTGCTGTCGCCGCAGCCGCGGCCCCTGCCGCGCTCCATCCTGCTACTCTCCGAGGTGCAGTTCATGGACTCTCAGTAGGCGGCGGCGGGGATCGGGCTGGACTGCGAGTGTGTGCACTGCGGTGAGCTGGGGATGCAGTGCACTGCGTGAGTGGACGGATTAACTGAATTTGTGCCGGATGGATATTGTGAGGGTCAGTTGTGTACATTGTGTATTTATGCGCCACGTTCATGCTCGGATTCACTACGTTTAGTAAAGTTGGCACTTTCTTTAGTCTGGTTAATCGCATTCCTGTGCGAACACGGAAACCTTTTACGGTCAATTTTGTTTGTTTAATGTGTGTTGTTAGTCAGATCATGAGCTATTTTGGTTTGTAAAAGAAACATTCAACTCTCACGCGTATGAATTTGCGTATGCCTACATGCCCATATGAATGCTTGCATAACTCATGTTTGCTATAAAAATAAAATGAATTAAAAGGTTAATGTTGAATTTCCGGAATGCTGAAGGATAATGCTGAATGACAAGTGTTTCAATGCATTATACTAATTCAATTTAATGCCTATTGAAACAACATTGTTTGTATATTTTCCTTACAACGGCATCCATGCAACACCCAAGTGGCTGTTTGACCGAGATGAGAATGAGTGAACACGTCACTATTCCAATGAAAGGGATAAGGGCCGTTACAAGTGAGTGCGACACCGTCTCATATCTCGTGGGGACAGAATGAGGTTTGCGCCCAAAGGCATGTGCATCCATCTATTGCATCACCCTGGCGTTCGACTGTCCTTTGTCGGTCCAGCCCGCCGGCCCCTGGCACGTCCCTCGGCTTGGTCCTTCGTCGTGCCGCCTGTCGCTCATCCCAAACAGCTGGTCAATCGTGTCTTAGCCCGTCAGTTACTACTGGCTAGTCTCTTGTCCCGGCCGCCAGTTCATCTTCCCAGCCCGCCGGTTCCTCGTGACAGCCCGTCAGTAGTCACTGGCCGCTAGCCCCTGTCTCAGCGCGGCATTCTCTCGTCTCAGTCCGCTAATTTCTGGTTCCAACCAGCTGGCCCCTTCTCCCAGACCGCGCTCCGCGGCCGGTCGCTCGTCCCAGCCCGCTGGTCGTTAGGCCGCTACCAGCCGGTCGGCGGTCTCTCTTCCAGCTCATCAGTCCCCTGTTCCGGCAAGCCTCGCTGTTTCGCGGGCACTTTTTTCCGGGCCATTGTAGAGCTATAGCACAACCAACAGTAGATAGGACCTACTTAAACGTTGAATTACGAGAACTACTGACAGTACGGCGATGCAGCAGCAGTGACCGCTCCCGGTCCTGTGAGACGTGTGAGACGGAAGTTTGTAGAGGCCGGCCCGGCGCTCAAACAAGCACCCGGGAGAGGGTGTAGCTCAAATGAGAACTGGCCCTGACCGCCGAAAATCTGGTTGGGTGATCACGAGCTCGGAAGGGGTAGCATGAGTAAGGGTGTGGATCTTGGTGTGGATGAGTTGGTCCTGAAAGGTCAGGACGGATATCTGCAGCAGGACTGCGGAGTCGGAGTCGATGGCCCGCCGCGCAAAAATTTGTCGATTTCGGGCTCCGCGGAGGGAGGGGAGCATATATGCCCCAAGGCCCCCTCCCCATCTGGATTTGCCAGTGGTCCGCAGTCCGACGGGCACTGGGTTCACTAGAAATTCAACTAAGCTAACCCGATCCAGGCTGTCTCTGTGGGCTTATTACCTATTTACTAGTATTTGGTGAGCTGGGGACTCGACCGTCTCGGTGGATTCGTGAATCGACGAGATGCCAAGTGCCAAGTGCACTTGGAGCTCGCTGTTCCAACGAATGGTAGGAAAAGGAATCTGTTTCGGATTTCAGAATAATTCTTTTTTTTTCAGGTAACTGCTATTTCAAACGCCTATGAAATGTTGTGGTAATTGGAAAATATATAAGTATTTAGATTTTAGACTTCTCTTGCATTTGTGCTAGATCCGATAAATTGATATGATGTAAATTATACGGCAAAACTCATGCAGGAGTTCTGGTAAGATGTCTCAATTTTATGTTCATTGCAAATTCAAAAGAAACATGGATGCTAACTTTGAAGTTTTTATCCATTTTCACATAATGTTACAACTTACATGTATTTATATACACTGTGGTTACATGCACATAAGCATTATTTCATGCACATGTTACCGGACAAAATAATTTAGTCGTTGTAATCGATACACGCCTGACGGTTAATAGAGATGGAACATTTTGCTTGAAGAAAGATTCTAGTATTCCAAGTAACATAACATAACATAACATGTATTCCATGTAACAGCAGAGGGCTGTTCACGGGCCCTGTGTGCGGTCGGACCGCACACAGCCTCCAAGCTCCGCCCACTGCGTCCCTACGTCAGCCTTCCGTCACCGCACACAGCGACCGCTGTGGCCGGTCGGGACTGGCCACAGCGGACCGTCCACCGCACGCAGCCGTGACGTCAGAGCCGCCTACCCATCCCCTACCCCCACGCCTGCTGGACGCACCGCACACACCGCACGCAGCAGTGTGCGGTGCCCGTGAACACCCCTCAGGCCACATGTAACGGAAGTTGGCACAGATTCAGCACAGATTCAGCACAGCACAGATTCGGTAGGGGGAAAAAAGGCCCCGGTAGAGGGAAACCTTTATGACCCGTTTTCCCCTAGAAATGACGTCACAAAGAGGTAAAAATGGGTATCAATCGAAAGCTCTCGTTTACCCAGACACAGTCCTGCAGGAAAATTCCACTTTTTCCCCATAGGAAAGTTTTTACGGGAAAATCAAAATTTTGGGTCAATGGGGGGTCCCCCCCGATTTCGTTCAAAATCGGCACACAGGTGCCCCACCACCAGCCGAGAAACTTTCCCCAAAACGGTCCCCGTTGCATTGACGTTTAAGGCCCTTAAAGCCCCGTAAACTCGTAAAAAATCCGTAAATTCGCCCTTGTACGGCCAAAAACGGGGCGCTAAAGTAAAAATGGGTATCAATCGAAAGCTCTCGTTTACCCAGACACAGTCCTGCAGGAAAATTCCACTTATTCCCCATAGGAAAGTTTTTACGGGAAAATCAAAATTTCGGGTCAATGGGGGGTCCCCCCCGATTTCGTTCAAAATCGGCACACAGGTGCCCCACCACCAGCCGAGAAACTTTCCCCAAAACGGTCCCCGTTGCATTGACGTTTAAGGCCCTTAAAGCCCCGTAAACTCGTAAAAAATCCGTAAATTCGCCCTTGTACGGCCAAAAACGGGGCGCTAGGGTAAAAATGGGTATCAATCGAAAGCTCTCGTTTACCCAGACACAGTCCTGCAGGAAAATTCCACTTTTTCCCCATAGGAAAGTTTTTACGGGAAAATCAAAATTTCGGGTCAATGGGGGGTCTCCCCCGATTTCGTTCAAAATCGGCACACAGGTGCCCCACCACCAGCCGAGAAACTTTCCCCAAAACGGTCCCCGTTGCATTGACGTTTAAGGCCCTTAAAGCCCCGTAAACTCGTAAAAAAATCCGTAAATTCGCCCTTGTACGGCCAAAAACGGGGCGCTAAAGTAAAAATGGGTATCAATCGAAAGCTCTCGTTTACCCAGACACAGTCCTGCAGGAAAATTCCACTTTTTCCCCATAGGAAAGTTTTTACGGGAAAATCAAAATTTCGGGTCAATGGGGGGTCCCCCCCGATTTCGTTCAAAATCGGCACACAGGTGCCCCACCACCAGCCGAGAAACTTTCCCCAAAACGGTCCCCGTTGCATTGACGTTTAAGGCCCTTAAAGCCCCGTAAACTCGTAAAAAATCCGTAAATTCGCCCTTGTACGGCCAAAAACGGGGCGCTAGGGTAAAAATGGGTATCAATCGAAAGCTCTCGTTTACCCAGACACAGTCCTGCAGGAAAATTCCACTTTTTCCCCATAGGAAAGTTTTTACGGGAAAATCAAAATTTCGGGTCAATGGGGGGTCCCCCCCGATTTCGTTCAAAATCGGCACACAGGTGCCCCACCACCAGCCGAGAAACTTTCCCCAAAACGGTCCCCGTTGCATTGACGTTTAAGGCCCGTAAAGCCCCCTAGACTCGTAAAATATCCGTAAAATCGCCTTTGTACGGACAAAAAAGTGGTGCTATGGTAAAAATGGGTATCAATCGAAAGCTCTCGTTTACCCAGACACAGTCCTGCAGGAAAATTCCACTTTTTCCCCATAGGAAAGTTTTTACGGGAAAATCAAAATTTTGGGTCAATGGGGGGTCCCCCCGATTTCGTTCAAAATCGGCACACAGGTGCCCCACCACCAGCCGAGAAACTTTCCCCAAAACGGTCCCCGTTGCATTGACGTTTAAGGCCCTTAAAGCCCCGTAAACTCGTAAAAAATCCGTAAATTCGCCCTTGTACGGCCAAAAACGGGGCGCTAGGGTAAAAATGGGTATCAATCGAAAGCTCTCGTTTACCCAGACACAGTCCTGCAGGAAAATTCCACTTTTTCCCCATAGGAAAGTTTTTTACGGGAAAATCAAAATTTCGGGTCAATGGGGGGTCCCCCCCGATTTCGTTCAAAATCGGCACACAGGTGCCCCACCACCAGCCGAGAAACTTTCCCCAAAACAGTCCCCGTTGCATTGACGTTTAAGGCCCGTAAAGCCCCCTAGACTCGTAAAATATCCGTAAAATCGCCTTTGTACGGACAAAAAAGTGGTGCTATGGTAAAAATGGGTATCAATCGAAAGCTCTCGTTTACCCAGACACAGTCCTGCAGGAAAATTCCACTTTTTTTCCATAGGAAAGTTTTTACGGGAAAATCAAAATTTTGGGTCAATGGGGGGTCCCCCCCGATTTCGTTCAAAATCGGCACACAGGTGCCCCACCACCAGCCGAGAAACTTTCCCCAAAACGGTCCCCGTTGCATTGACGTTTAAGGCCCTTAAAGCCCCGTAAACTCGTAAAAAATCCGTAAATTCGCCCTTGTACGGCCAAAAACGGGGCGCTAGGGTAAAAATGGGTATCAATCGAAACCTCTCGTTTACCCAGACACAGTCCTGCAGGAAAATTCCACTTTTTCCCCATAGGAAAGTTTTTACGGGAAAATCAAAATTTCGGGTCAATGGGGGGTCCCCCCGATTTCGTTCAAAATCAGCACACAGGTGCCCCACCACCAGCCGAGAAACTTTCCCCAAAACGGTCCCCGTTGCATTGACGTTTAAGGCCCGTAAAGCCCCCCTAGACTCGTAAAATATCCGTAAAATCGCCTTTGTACGGACAAAAAAGTGGTGCTATGGTAAAAATGGGTATCAATCGAAAGCTCTCGTTTACCCAGACACAGTCCTGCAGGAAAATTCCACTTTTTTCCCATAGGAAAGTTTTTACGGGAAAATCAAAATTTTGGGTCAATGGGGGGTCCCCCCGATTTCGTTCAAAATCGGCACACAGGTGCCCCACCACCAGCCGAGAAACTTTCCCCAAAACGGTCCCCGTTGCATTGACGTTTAA